CAGTTTGTGGCACTGCTGAGGTGGTATGGAAGCCCAGGTTTCTTTGACAGTGGCCTTCAGCTCATCTGCATTTTTTGGTCTCTTGTTTCTCATTTTCCTCTTGACAATACACCATAGATTCTCTATGAGGTTCAGGTCTGGTGAGTTTGCTGGAACTTTTCCACGACATTCTAATTTAAATAAATAATGCAGGTGCATCTCAAAAACATAAAAAGGAAGCAAACCTACATTTTATTTTTTATTTTATTTTCTCTTCCTTTGTGTTATTTATTTTAACTAATTTGCTCTGCTAATTTGTGCTAAATTTAAATTTAAATAGAGAGAGACAGTTTTAGAGCATTGGTTTAACACATAGGTAGACATGTACTGTGTGTGTGTGGTGCGGGCTGCAGCTCTGCAGATGTTCTCAGTTAAATCTTTTGCTATGCTGCAGCTGGCCTATAGCAACACATGATGTCATCTGTCCTCCCTCATGCTCACATGCGACCACGATCCACTTCAGAGAGCTCGCCTGGCCTCTGTCTGTGTGTGTTCTCGTATTTTTGTTCCTGGCTGTTAAGCCGATTTAACCGCACGTCTTTGGTCAGCCGGCTTTTAACTTCCATCCTTCCTTTCATTCCCTTTCCTTACTTCCAGGGCCGCATTTACGCATAGGCATTCTAGGCACGTGCCTATGCTCGCTCGTCCAGGGTGGGCCCAAACACACTGAAGAGATATATAATATTTTTGTTATACTATGGGATATCTACAACAGTAAAAGAACCACAACCCCCAGAAGACATTGAGCAAATAAATATAACAAACAATAGGGTAAAAATGACAAACTATTTCCATGTCTTCAACCTTTTTATGTGCGGAAATCACGCTTTCTTTCTCCCGTTCTCTCTCACAGATGCACACACAGTACACACGCAGAGACGCGAACAGAAACTTGTTGTCAGAGCTGCGGCTGCCCCGTGTATTTATCAATAAAATAGTTTCGCATTTTTCAGTAGCGAGGTTCTTGAAGCAGTTCAACTTAAAGATTCGCTAGTAGACGCTGCTGCTGAATACTGCTGAGAGACGCACAGACTCACGTATTCACACGCGCTTAATCTCTCTCTCCCTCTCTCTCTTTCGCTCTCTCTCTAATAACTGCATTAGACTGCATTAATAACTGCGTCATCCTGCATATAAATGGCTCAAGCCTCTTTTATTAGCTCTTTAATGACGTTTTGGAATTTGCAACGGAAGGTTTGGGATGAGGTGTGTAAAAAATTAGCTAGTTCAACACACTTCAGGACAGAAACATGTAAAATGTCTTGAAACAAATCATCTGAACAATTGATGTGGGATTGTGACTCCAGGCCGTTAAAATTATTAGAGAAATAATGCACTCCCGAAGTGGTTATGTGGCCACGTCGCCGCGCCTATTAATGGAATGGTCTTTCTCAGTTCTCAAACAAATTAAGAACTACATTCGATTTTTATTGACTGAACGCAAGCGCTTATTGCGATAGAAAACACTGTAACGGTTTCCACTGATTAAGAAATATTTTTGTTTGCTTGGGTGGTAATATTAGGCCTATTATATTAATAGGGAAGGGGGGGGCCCAAAAATGTGTTTTGCCTATGTCACGAAAAGTGGTAAATCCGGCCCTGCTTACTTCCTTCCTTGTTTCCTCCAGCCTGCTCTCTGTTTCCCCTGGTTTCAAGAGGTTGCCCACGGGGACAGGTCAGTGACCTGTGTTCACTTGCCTATGTGGTTTCTTTCTCTCTTCCACATTTTCAGGCAGTCTAAATAATAGCTGGGCAGCGTGCAGCAGGGCTCATCTGCACCCTGGGGCAGTGTTCTGGGATCAGTGAGCCCTCTAGTGGTTGCAGCACTCATTACACAGAGCCAGACGTGGGATTTCTGCAGCGCAGTCGCCGCGCAAGCCCAGTCAGCATCCGGCACGTTATGCTGAGTGGGATTATCATTACAATCACATTCTGCACTCTCAGAGCCCTGCAGACGGGATGGGGCGTGCCGTAGACCACTGACGTGTTATTTCAAAAGGGTGCGGGTATGATGACGGGGGGGCTACATAGACGTGGCCGCAGCTGACATCATGCTACATTTGCTTACTCTACCTGCAGAGAGCATCCATCATGCCTGCCTCTGGGGCTGGAGTCTGTCGCTTTCTTTTATATTCTCCCTGTCTCCCTCCTGCCGTTTTTTTTAAGCGCCGACAAGGGGAAGCGATTGATGAAGGAGGTCACATTTCAGTCCCCCTTATCTTTTAATAGCCTCTCTTTGTTGTTTTGCTGCACCTGATAGGAATACAATACAGCTGATGTCTTACTTCAAAAACACTCAGCAATCTCCTCATCTGTCCGTCAGCGAACCTCTGGCCCAGAGATCACCGCAGTCTGGACACTGTTATTTAAATGCATCTGGAGACTTTAAAGAGGGAGAAATAGAGTGGGAGGGATGGGTAGGGATGTGAGAGGGTGTGGCACAACATGTAAAGACCTATTCACAGAGCATGAATTCATCATAAGAGGCTTCACACAAAAATCAAATCAGCACAATTAAACCAAGCCCTTTATATCGGGTGTGATAATTCACATTTTGACAAAAGCACCATTTTTAATTGTGCAATTCTTTGTTTTCTTTTGTTTGGTGGAAAAATTCTCTGCAGCTAGCACTTGTCAAAAGCCAAATGCATGTAAAAATATAATTATATGGCAGTAACTTTATTAGGAACTGAAACATCATTTCCTGCAGTACATAAAAAGATAAAGAGATAAAAGAAAAAATGTCATTTATATCAAACCATCTACTAAACAAAATTTCTGTCATCACTTTTTCTTAGCTCCTAACTTTTCCTTTAGTTGAAATTAGTTAGGAACCCAGCATAGAGCTTTTGACATTGTTGGTTGCCATATATACTATTATATACTATTCACCACAAATGTGCAAATAAAAGTTTGTGTACCTGACTGCATCATCCATATGCTATTGCATTGTTTTAATTAAAGGCTTGTCGAGGAATTTAAACCAAATGTCAGGACTCATCCTTCCTGTGCAATGAGAGTCTACTAATGTCAGGAAGCACATCATGACTATTTCACCTGGAGTTTTAGCCCACTAAAACCTTCCGGCTGCATCTTCTTTTCTTGGCTCTGTGAGATCTCACACATAGGAAATCAAATCCTTTATGCCTTACCAGAAAAACAGAGCCAAAGAAAACAATGTGAAGAGAGAAGTCGAGGCTGAATATGTTTGTAGCCTGGCATAGTGTAATTCCCATGGCGGCTGTTAAACAATGAGAGGCCGGGCGTAACTCAAGCTGCATCTGCTCTGCTGTGAAGTATATTGGAGGCCTCAGATCAGCTGAAAGCACAGCTCCTTTTATTTGGGGCATTAAAGCCAAATTTGAAGAACTTTAGTGTACTGTGCTGTATAAAGCCAACTATGAATTGGTACTTGAATGGAATTGTATGATTAAACTTTAGTTCTAAGGATTTTTTGCAGCTGTTGGCACAGAATAAAACATCTCTCTCTCTCTCGCTTCTCTCCCTCTATCTAGTACACTTCCCCTCCCTCTTTCTTCCCTGCTGTTTTCTCTGGTTTGGGGTTTTTGTAGCTCTGTTGTGGTCTGTGTTATTGTGTGAGCGAAGACATGCACTGTGACTGACTCGGTATGCAAATAGACATTAGTAGATTATTCTTTGCCGTCAGGATTGAAGGGACTGTTTGAGAATTCTCACAGTTCCTTAGTAAGTTGCATTGATCCACTTTATGTAACATGATGATATCTTCTGTTCACTTTAGGTCTCAAAAGTAAATGGACTCACAAGGGCATCATCAGTTGGCAAGCATACGGCCGGTGCCAAAAAGTCGAAAGACTTCCGTCTGCCGTCCAAAACTGTGAAGAACGCAGCCACCGTGACCAAGGGCCACGTCACCTACACCAAAGCAAAACAAGAACTGGTTAAGAAAGCCAAACTCAACCACAGCAAGCACACTGCTTCTGCTGGCCTTCATGCTTACAGCAACAACCACCACCATCATTCTCATCATCCAACCAGCAACGGCCGTGGCCGGCCCCAGCTCTCTCACTCAGGAAAAGCCCAAAGTATCAATGCAAAAACCCGCAAACAGGTGCTATTATCGAATGGGGTGCATAAGATGACTAATGGGGGCCGGCCTAATGGCAGGCTTAATGGACGCCACAGTGCCAGGGAAGAGGAAGAAGATGGCCGGCAAGTGCGGCAGGGACTGCGGAACTCTAAACGCAGAAGTGACGCCATTATGATCCTTGGAGCTGGAACTGAGAGTGACAAGGTTAAGACTAAGCTGCCTGTTTCTGAGGTTAAGAAAGCTAAACTGCAGACTAGCCCACTGGAAACTCGCAGCAAGAAGGCCCTGGGTCAGTTCAAGCCCCCTAATGCCTTCACTATTGCACATAGTATCACTGAAATGGCCGCCTCCCCTACTCAGAAAATGGGTTCTGCCCCTCCTCCATCTCCCCCTGCTGCTCCCGCCTCCCCAACCATGCCCCAGAATCCCGCTACCCCTGAGCCAGCACGTCAGCGGCCCAAACGCGCCTCTGCTGGCAAACTGATGTTCATCAGACAAGCACAGCAGAGGGTCCAAACTAACCCGGCCCTCAACCGGACCACATCCACTACCTCAGCCAGCAAATCCTTCAAACCAGCAGAGCCCACACACATGCCTCCACCACGGCCGGACAGAGACAGGGAGAGGAGAAGGGCAGGGTGGGCGGCCTTGGAGGAGGTGCCAATTTTCAAGCCCAGCTCCAGGGAGTTTCAGGACCCTTTGGTGTACCTTGACTCAGTTCGGGAACGGGCAGATTCGTCTGGACTGTGCAGAGTGTTGCCTCCTCCTGACTGGAGGCCAGAGTGCAAACTCAATGATGACATGCGTTTTGTGACACAGGTTCAGCGCATCCACAAGCTGGGTCGGCGCTGGGGCCCCAATGTTCAGAAACTGGCCTGCATTAAGAAGCACCTCAAATCTCAGGGCATCTCAATGGACGAGCCACCTCTTATAGGTGAGTCCACTTAAAACTTTATGATTACAATTGCTTTTGTTGGTATAGAGCAGAATTCCTTAAATCTACAGGTCCACTGTTTTAGCGCAAACTTTCCTACCTGCAATTTTCTAATAACTCTGAAGACCTTATTTAGCTTGCTCCAGTATTTTTGTTTGGGATTGGAGTTAAGCTCTGCAGGGCTGTTACCCTCCAGGGTTGGATTTGAGGAACCCTGTTATAGGGGCTAGGTCAACTCTGCTTCTGGAGGGGTCAATGCGCTGCAGATTTGAGCTCCAACTCTAATCAAACCTACCTGAACAATCTAAACAAGATAACTTCTCAGGATACATTTTATACTGGTGTGGGCTTCATATGTTTGCAAACAGTGGCCCTTCAGGAGCGCCATTGCCCATTTCTGCGCTTCAGTTACGATTGCAGCAATTACTGTAGCTCTGTTTCCCTGCGCATGTGTAAATATAATTGCATATCAGCCTGTCAACATTTTTCTTAAGTGAATAAAGGGGTGAGAGACAATTTGTTTGTAAACCGACCAGTGAATAGCCTCATGGTCCATTCTTAACATATGTTGTCAAGTCTCTTGTCTGCCAGGAGTTGGGGAACCATATGTCGAACCAATCACCCATTTCTCCAGAACTTGTCGAGCACAGTTAAAAGTTTACGAGGTTTTAAAGCAGCTCTGCACCATTGCTTTACTTCAGAATCCTGTGTGCTGTTTGAGGGTCCAGTCAGAATATATGGTTGAAATAAATGTTTATTGAGCCTGTTGGAATGCCGCCGGTATGCTGCAATAATTCCTACGAGAGTTTTAAACTCTTGGTCATTGACCTTTGTTGGTGCTCACTCTCCCTCAGTTCCTTAGCTCACTTTCTCCAGTCGTTGTGGTTTGTTGTGTTTCAAAAGACAAATAAAGATGTCACACCATTTCTCTGCTAGCATGTTTAGAGAATTAATGAGCTGTGAAATGTAATGAATTGTAATTCTGGAGCTGTCAATACTCATTTTGCAGCAGATGGTGCAGTGTGTCCTAGTTGCAGTGGTTTAGTTGAGTTATGTTTGGAAACGATACATTAACTTTCAATATACTTTCCTAATGTACAGTGTATTAAACATTCACAATAATCTCTTCCCTCTCATTGTCGCCCCTTCAGGTGGCTGTGAAGTAGATCTGGCTCGTTTTTCTGAGCTGGTCTGCGACATGGGTGGAATGCAGCAGGTGATGGACCTGAAAAAATGGAGCCGGTTGGCCGACCTGCTTCGCATTCCCAAATCAGCACAGGACCGTCTGGCCAAGCTCCAGGAGGCCTACCTCCAGTACCTGCTCTCTTATGACCTGCTCTCTCCCGAGGAGCACCGACAACTGGAGCAGGAGGTGCTGGCAGAAAAGGAAGCTCTGGAATGCAAGCGGGGACCCCTGGAGGGCCACTCTGATATCGGCCAGCGGACTCTGGCTCTTCCCCGTTACGAACCCAAGAATGGGCTCACCGGCCTCAACCACCGCAATGGCTTCCGCAATCACAACAAAGAGCCAGATAACCAGCGGCAGACTGGCCGCCGCAGACTGTTTGCTCAGGAAAAGAAAGGGGAAAAAGTGGACATTGATGAGGCAGTTGAGGAGGCAGTAGATGAAGGTGTTCTCAGTGACCAGCACAAATGTATATACAAGGTAAGGGATGTGATAGACGCACCTACTGCTTTGATAATGGCAGTCATAAAGCTTATCAGCAAGTTAACGTTATTGTGTTTCCTTTAGGATTTGTCAGTTTTATGTGTCAAACTTCTTTTATTCACTATATTCACTCAGACTGGCAGATGTGCCATTTCCTCAGGTAATGAAGTGTTTAGAGAGAGCATAGAGGGCTCACCGCTGAGCTGCCAGAGAATGTGCCAGAATTTCAAGCGTGATGACAATGTTTGCCTGTACACTGAACACAGAGCCACACTGCTGGGAAAGAAAGGAGGAAGGCTTAATATGTGATGTGTTTTGGGTTTTAATGCTGCCCAGGTTGGCTCTACAGTGGTTGATGGTTGTGTCTCTATGCTGTGCTCTGCATCACAGATCTGAGTTTCATTTCAGAGCTATGACCTGCTAAACTGCCAGAATGAGTGTCTATTTTGTTCCTCAGACAGATTTAAAGGTTCAAAACACCATAGATCTATTACAAACTCTAGTGAGCTGCCTGCCTAGGCAATATTTTAGACATCATAGGCGTGCTTCCGACTTGAAGCTAAATTATAGTGCTTTGAGATCCCATTTTGGCTAAAATTAGTCTCAGCAGTGTATGCACATTTTTTTCTTCTGTGCATTTATCTGCAGAGACTTTTCATTTTACACATTTTGTTTTAAAACAGCATTTATGTATGCAATGCATTTGTTTATTAGAATGTCAGTTTATTAGCTTAGCATGCTAGCATGAGGCTGTTTTAGAATCAGCTGTGAAATTAAATAACGTGTGTGTGTGTGTGTGTGTGTGTGTGTGTGGTTCAGGTGAAGAGCACTTTTTGCACATCCTGTCTGCTGCCCATAAAAAGTGTTTAAATTCAGTCACTTGTGAAGTTTAAATTTGGTTAGCATGCTGCAGTTGAACATAGATTACCAATATAAAAAGTGAAGCAGAAAAATGGGTCAGAGTTTGTGTGGCTCTTGTGTTTGAAAGAGGACCGGTGGTAAAGAGGACTGTGACTGTGGGTGGGTGGGTATCGGTGAGAGTGGCTGTTGTGTGAGAGGGTTTGTTCCCAGGCCCTCAGCTCCTGGTGTATGTGAGGCTGAGTTTTTAGCTATAGTCTATGTAAGGTGACTCCGTCTGCCTCACCAGCCCTATAAAAATACCCCGCTGACTCTTATAGCACCCGGTCTGTCTGTCTGTGTGTTGTTGTCTGAGGTAACACTCTCTGCTGGGCGGTACGGTGAGAGTGGGCCTCTTCACAGAATGGTGCCTGCATATAGGTCACAGCTCAGCTCCTCACACACACACACACACACACACACACACACACACACGCTGCACTTTGTTCATCTCCAGTGAGGTACCTGGCAATTGTCTCTGTCTATAGTTATCAGTGCTGTCATGCGGTTGAAGAGTGAGCGTTTTTCAAGTTGTGCTGTGGCACTTAAAAATAATTTGTGATGGACAACTTGTGAAGCAATGAATGGGTAAAACGGCAACACTTCTCTTGATAGTTATTCATGAGATGGAAAGGAAGTACTGCCATTAAAATAAAAGAAGACAAAAAGCAAGTCTATCACCTCGACCAACTCATAAAAAACAAGTTTTAGCCTTAATTTAAGCAGAAGAAGCCACATTTATGGTAGCATAAGACTGAATTTAATGGTAATTTGACAGATGTTATGTTATCGTAAGCTTGTTTTTGAGCGCTGCCTGCAGCCGTTTCCAAGATGGCTGCCAAGCAAACAAACAGCTTATGCCACTGATTATTTTGCCATTTTTCTTACTGTTTATTGTTTTTTCCAGGGGAGATCGGTATCTTTGACCACCTTTTACAGAATAGCAAGAAATACTATGCTGATGTGCTTCAACAAAGAGCCTGGGGCTGCTGAAGTTGAGGTACACACAAACCACTTCCTGTATTTTAACCATTCGCCAGATGTAAATGTGTACAGTGTAATATGTTACTACATTATTGGTGTAAAACAGGGCTGTCCAAACTCGGCCCTGGAGGGCCGATGTCCTGCAGAGTTTAGCTCCAACCCTAATTAAACACACCTGAACCAGCTAATCAAGCTCTTACTAGGCATAGAAACTTCCAGTCAGGTGTGTTGAGTCAAGTTGGAGCTAAACTCTGCAGGACACCGGCCCTCCGAGTTTGGACAGCCCTGATGTAAAATGTCGACCCTAGTGACCAGCATTTCTGAAGTATAATAATAGCCGCTCTATGACAAATTGTCTTTAAATAGCATGTACTCTCTGTGTTGCATATTTTGTAAGAATATCCTGTGACCGTTGTATCCTTGTATCCTGTCATATTTCCTTATTTCATGCCTTTTCTCTTCATCTCCATCTGTCCTGCTTTTCTTTATATAGCAAGATTATTGGCGGATAGTGGAGCAGAGGGACTGCCATGTAGCAGTGCATTATGGGAAAGTGGACACAAACACACATGGAAGCGGCTTCCCTGTGGGCAAGTCCGAACCCTTCTCCAAGTAAGAGCTACTTTCATTTGAGATGAATTAAAGGCATGATGGGAGGATGTATTACCGTTTATAAATATGATGCTACTATAAGCTCTCTTTTTCTCTCTGTCGCTGCAGGCATGGATGGAACCTCAATGTCCTTCCCAATAACTCTGGATCCATTCTGCGCCATCTTGGTGCTGTGCCTGGTGAGTCCACTACTGTTGTCAGTAGCAGGAAGTACACTTCTCTCCACATCATGTAAAGCTCCTTTGCTGAATAAGTAATCACCCCCTCTCTGTCTCTCCTTCTCTTTCTCTCTCACAGGGGTGACTGTTCCCTGGCTGAACATCGGCATGGTCTTTTCTACCTCATGCTGGTCACAAGACCAAAACCGCCTTCCATACATTGATTACTTACACACTGGTGCTGATTGCATTTGGTGAGTTTTTGTTCCCAGGTACTGTCAAGAAATTAATTGAGAAATTAATTTAAATAATTGAATTGAACATGTGTCCCATAAACCAGCATTGGGGTGTTAGATGATGAATGTAACAACATAAGATAAATTCAAAAGTAAGTATTGATTGATTGATTGATTGATTGATTGAAAATAAAAAGTACTAATAAAAAAAAAACTAATAAAATAATATAGAATAATTAATAATTAAAATATTTGGCAAATTTAATTATTCATAATTTGCATTATGATTTGTGTATATATAACATTATATATATATATATATACAGTGGGTACGGAAAGTATTCAGACCCCTTTAAATTTTTCACTCTTTGTTATATTGCAGCCATTTGCTAAAATCATTTAAGTAAATTTTTTTTCCTCATTAATGTACACACAGCACCCCATATTGACAGAAAAACACAGAATTGTTGACATTTTTGCAGATTTATTAAAAAAGAAAAACTGAAATATCACATGGTCCTAAGTATTCAGACCCTTTGCTCAGTATTTAGTAGAAGCTATATTTCATGATAATGTAAATATTACTCATATTGCATTGCTCATGTTACTGTTTTACATAATAAAATAGATATATTTCATATTGTATAATTGATTATGTGATATTTCAATAATAAAAAATATTTTTTACCTTTAACCATTGTTAAAAAATTTTTATAATTATCAAAGGTTCAAAAATGAAACAAATGATGATTCCTTTCTTTAACTAAACATTGTAAAATTTACAAATAGTTTGTTCCCTTGTATAGAATCGCGTTTTGTTCAGTGAATCTTGTTCATTATTATTTATTTTTAGATACATTCAGTGTAATTTCAGTAAAAAATATTCTGAATGTGTTTTTATTTTTCTGTTTTCAGTTTTCATTTTCATTTTAAAGTTTAAGCAATTTGGTTGTGTTTTTGTCATTTTTATCAGTTTTAGTACTTCATCTTAAACTTACTTATTTCAATTAGTTGCCAAGGCAAAACTTCTAATTTTGAAGTTTTATTTTATTTTACTGTTTTGGCAACTTTATTTTGATTACCAAAATAATTTTTAATAGTTTGTTAACAGTAACACTGTTGACTAAATGTCATTTCAGTGTAAAATTGTACATTTTGCTAATGTCTTTCCTAACTCAGCTGTGTTGTAAAGATCATCTCCTCTAGTGGGCGCAGTATTCCATAAAACATGCAGTCACTTACACTGTGCATTCCACTCACGCCAGCGTCAGCTGTTTGTTTTATTTGACACACTATTCTCAACATGCTGTCGGCTGTACCAATTAATTTCACTATTTAGGATGAATAGCATGCTTACTAGGACAGACACAGTGTGTAAAATCTATAGTGTACTTTAGAGGTCAGTACAGTCTATAATATACTAACATTAATATTATAATACTTTGTATGGTCTATAACAGCTGTTCTCAACCAGGAGGCCTAAGCACTCCTTGAAGATGGCTTTAAAGTTATTTAAAACAAGACAAACCAAGCTTTAAAGTAAACTAAAACATCTAAAATACAATATATAGTTTAATCTGAATTTCATATTTAAATTTGTTCCCTTTACAATTGTCATTTTTATTTAAGAGCAGGGTTCTCACATTATACAGGGAATGAGGGAATTTTAAAAGTGTGATTTCAAGTCCGGGAAAAGTCAAGTAAATAAAATCTTGAAAAGCCATTGACATTTTATAACGAATATACATTTTACATACAGTTACACAGTGTGTCAAGCTTGAAATATTTTATGCGGTAGAAACTGGAGTAGAAGTCATGTAAACTCGTATAAAAAAAAATAATAATATATATATTCGAGGAAGTACTGTTTGTTTTTATTTCGACTGGTTTTAATTTCACACTTTCCTCTGTGGATTCGGGGAACTTTGGTTTCTCTGGCAACGGGTCAGGCTGTACTTGAGGAAGTGGGTGTTAGGGATTGAATGAGTGGGTCCCGTCCCGGCAGTGAGAGGGGTTCCTCCCACGCTGACGCTTACGAGCGATAACTGTGCCTGATGTTTAGCGGGGAGATCTTTCTTTATTTTGGTGCTGTTTTTTTTTTGGTTTTTTTATCAATACAAAAAAAGGTAATAAAAAGAAGTGCTGTCCGCTAGACTTCTTATCCCACAGGATGGAAGAAGCCAGAGGCTTTTTCTGCTTCTAGATGTGCAATCGTGTCAACATTCCATTCTTCCAGACTTATTGATTCATCTGTAACAGTTAACATTAATTATTATATTATATTATTGTAATTATTATATTTTGTGTTTTTGACTTTTTATTTTCTCTTTTGTTCTGATGTGCTATGTTGAGTTAGAGCCACTATTCAGAGGGTGTAAAATGTGAAATACAAGTCCATTTTTTTCTTTATTGTTATTATTGTTTTATTTTGTTCTGTCTTTTCCTTTTTGCAGAAGTATCATTGTTTTAAAGAAACTTAAGAAAATCACCTTTTTGTACATAATCTTGTAAATGTCTTTAATACTTGAGCCTTTGTTGGAGTGACAGAAGGAAAGGACAGATAGATGGATGATGTCAGATGAAGAAAAGCCTTACATTTCAGTTTCTTCAGCTGTGGGAGTTTAATGCGTACAGGGTTGCTCTGGTAATGTGTATCAATTTTAAGTGCTGCTTACATCACTGAGGACTAAGATACGGAGTCGCGATTCCCCCCTAGTTTTGTTTTTTAGGTTTAATTTTTTAAAGAAAAGGGAAAAAATACTTTCACAAAAAAAGGTTTTTACATTTTCATTACTGAAAATTCAGCATAGTAGCTACTCATGTTGCACTGAGCTTGCCAGTGGTGACTGTCAAGTAAAAAAAAAAAAAAACTATAATCCAGTTTGTTGGTGGTTGCCCTGAACAGAAGACTGAACTGTTTTAGGAGTATTTAATGAAAACCAAATCGGGTGTTTTCAACAAACAAAACAAAATAATAAAAAAAAAAATAAAAAAAAAACGCGGTTGTCAAGTTTTTATGGCCTTACAATGCATTTTATTCCGAATTTTTTGTTGTTTTTGTTCCTTTTTCTAAAATATGATAAATTTGCTCATGGTCAGGCAAGTTAATTTATTAGCACTGCGTATTTCATGTTGGTTATATTGCCTGTTTTATTTAGTTTTTATTTACTTTTTTTCTATTTGTACTTAAGGTTTAATAAAAACTCATGGACAATTCACTCTCAGTCTGTGCTCTTTGTTACTGAACTTTATTTAGGTTTAAAGGGGAATGTGTTGAACAAGGGAATCTTTTCTGACACACTCTCAGATGGCCTTGGTAAAACTTCATAAAATTTACTGTATTATTTATACATTTACATTTAAACATTTAGAAGACGCTTTTATCCAAAGCGACTTACAAATGAGGGTAATAGAAGCTATCATTAATTTTATTAATGTTATTAATGAATTACAGGTTAAACACAGTTAAATTTACATTTAGAAATAATAATAATAATAATACAGAATACAGACTCTCTACGGACCCGTGGTGTCAAATTCTTGTGCAAGACCAATTAGACAACTTTGTGAAAAGTACACAGAATAATATATTTTTATTCATATTTTACCAGTTAAATATCTACTCCCACTGATTTTAAATTAATTTTACTCCTGCATCTCCACATTGTTTTCCCTGGTGTAGAAACATGCTGGCAATGTGAAGTACTGAAGCTTGGCTCAGAGCCTAAAATATGGTGTTTTCATCATAATTATCAAAGTCATACTCTGGTGAGTCTGAGGCCTCTGAAGCATTATTGATTCTATACATGAGACAGACACGTACCTCATGACATAAACATCACTTTTGAATACATTTTTGAACATTTGTGATCTAAAAACCATCTGGGAATACCCTAGATCTGGATTTACAAGATATGAAACTGATCAAACTAGTTTGTAGAGTGAAGGGAATAGAATTAGAAAATGATGTATTTTATACCACTGTAACTGACAACAGTGGCACAGACAGGCAAACAGCAGACCAGCTATCGGCAGTGAACGTCCAAAAGACCCCCCTAGTTTTGTTTTTTAGGTTTAATTTTTTAAAGAAAAGGGAAAAAATACTTTCACAAAAAAAGGTTTTTACATTTTCATTACTGAAAATTCAGCATAGTAGCTACTCATGTTGCACTGAGCTTGCCAGTGGTGACTGTCAAGTAAAAAAAAAAAAAAAACTATAATCCAGTTTGTTGGGGGTTGCCCTGAACAGAAGACTGAACTGTTTTAGGAGTATTTAATGAAAACCAAATCGGGTGTTTTCAACAAACAAAACAAAATAATAAAAAAAAAAATTAAAAAAAAACGCGGTTGTCAAGTTTTTATGGCCTTACAATGCATTTTATTCCGAATTTTTTGTTGTTTTTGTTCCTTTTTCTAAAATATGAGAAATTTGCTCATGGTCAGGCAAGTTAATTTATTAGCACTGCGTATTTCATGTTGGTTATATTGCCTGTTTTATTTAGTTTTTATTTACTTTTTTTCTATTTGTACTTAAGGTTTAATAAAAACTCATGGACAATTCACTCTCAGTCTGTGCTCTTTGTTACTGAACTTTATTTAGGTTTAAAGGGGAATGTGTTGAACAAGGGAATCTTTTCTGACACACTCTCAGATGGCCTTGGTAAAACTTCATAAAATTTACTGTATTATTTATACATTTACATTTAAACATTTAGAAGACGCTTTTATCCAAAGCGACTTACAAATGAGGGTAATAGAAGCTATCATTAATTTTATTAATGTTATTAATGAATTACAGGTTAAACACAGTTAAATTTACATTTAGAAATAATAATAATAATAATACAGAATACAGACTCTCTACGGACCCGTGGTGTCAAATTCTTGTGCAAGACCAATTAGACAACTTTGTGAAAAGTACACAGAATAATATATTTTTATTCATATTTTACCAGTTAAATATCTACTCCCACTGATTTTAAATTAATTTTACTCCTGCATCTCCACATTGTTTTCCCTGGTGTAGAAACATGCTGGCAATGTGAAGTACTGAAGCTTGGCTCAGAGCCTAAAATATGGTGTTTTCATCATAATTATCAAAGTCATACTCTGGTGAGTCTGAGGCCTCTGAAGCATTATTGATTCTATACATGAGACAGACACGTACCTCATGACATAAACATCACTTTTGAATACATTTTTGAACATTTGTGATCTAAAAACCATCTGGGAATACCCTAGATCTGGATTTACAAGATATGAAACTGATCAAACTAGTTTGTAGAGTGAAGGGAATAGAATTAGAAAATGATGTATTTTATACCACTGTAACTGACAACAGTGGCACAGACAGGCAAACAGCAGACCAGCTATCGGCAGTGAACGTCCAAAAGAATCAAATATATTTATTGATTTGAAGGGCAGACACAGGATTGGGCTTTACACTGCACAGCACACGACAAAGAATTTCTTTACAAAAACCAAAAGGGTTTCATAAAACACCAGTGTACACTCTTCCTTTGGACGCAAGTGCATATAGCACACCACTAACTACATCACTTCTTCTTACAGTCTGTCGATCATCCTCTGTGTTTTCAGGATGAGCTGCTGCTCTCACAGTTCTTCATTGGCTGGTTTTGTTCTCTTTCGGGTAACGTGGCATCTGCCTCGACCTCTTCCTGATCTGGCTGGACGAGTGGAGAGCCGCGGATGGCTGCTGGTCCCCTCTCATCATCTGCATCATCATCGTCGTCCTCCTCTTCCCCCGCCTCCGTGTCCTGGCTGGCTGAGTCCGTGCAGGTGGAGGACAGCGACGCCAGCTTGTGTCTCAGGTCGGCCTGTGTGGGCACCTGAAGAGCGATCTCAGAGGTGAACGACTCCACGTCCGGACCTGAGAGAGAATCATTCAGACAGGAAGAAGAGAAGTAGTCAGGAATGCAAATTTCTCTTGAAAAGTCAGGCATTGGTCAAGCAATGTTCAGGTTACTGGTGTTCTGTTCCAAAACCTAGTAAGCTGCCTAGAGTTGCGTTGCTCTGAAAAATGTTGTGGGCTAATTCCAGTCATTTCAATAGGAATCCACACAATGTGGAGTTTCACATAAAGAATCTCCACACAGATGCAAAATCACTGTGCTGACCAACAGAAAGCTGCTTAGTTTGAAAGTCACTTCTGTGTGAGTTGTGCTTCATGCATCACTGATCATTTTTGTCCCCAAATTTTCATCTAAATTAAGCTAATGTGACCACATCCTTCGTGAAATTTTGTGGGCAATAGTGTAACAATGAAACACCCCTTACTCAGATCCCAAAAATGAATTGATGACCTGGAGTGGTGTGGATTACTTGTGGACTACTGAGATGTTTTTATTAGCTGTTTGGACTCTCATTCTGGCGGCACCCATTCACTGCAGATGATCCACTGGTGAGTAGGGTTGGGTATCGTTTGAATTTAATCGATTCCGATTCTTATCGATTTCTAGTTTTGATTCCAATAAGATAAAAAATCCAATATAAAAAAAATGAAGTCAAACATTTAGATGTCAAACATTCATTCTGTCTTTTTACAAAGCATTCTGTTGCAGCTGAATAACACGAGCAAAAATCAGCAGCCTACAGAACACTGTAAGAGGAATTTTGCCTATGCTTTTAAAAAAAAATCCCACAGCAAAAACAACTAGATTAATACACATTTCAAATATTAAAGTGTTAAAGACAAGTAAACAGTCAGTAATAAGATAGGAACAAACAAATCAATTAGCAATATCATAAATAAATACAACTGAACAAAATTTCAGGTACAGAAACTGTAATTAAAAGTTTAAAAACACTGCACAGTTTTCTTTTCATAAATACAATATAGATTAATCAATTAAAGTTATTAAATATTTTCAATATTTTCAGTAAGACAAAAACGGCTGTGTTTATGATGATATACTGACGTAGTTTTCTGCATATTGGTCGACAAATATGAAAGAAGTCAGTTTCGGCCCGGAACAACCTTTTCTACAGTGGAAATACACGGAACGGTTCGGGAACAGACACAACCCGGGAACCCGTACCGCGACCTCTGTTCTCTGTGCTCGATGCCTTTTCCAAATACCCACACTTGTGGTCTTTGCACTTGACCACTTGAACAATTATATGATGTATTTCCTGTATTTGGCCCAAGCGGCAACCTCCCACTCTCTCTCGTGAAGCCAACACGGAAGTTACTTAAACTGTAATTCATCAACTGGCCGCTAGAAGCTGGCTGCAAAAGGGAGTCAGTCCCATAGACTCCCCATGTTAAAATGCCCAACTTTACAGCAGAAAAAAACATGTTTACAGCCTGGTTCAAAAAATTATTTTGATCTATATAGCTAATTTTGCCCTTCATGACAACTTGTGAGGGGGTGAATTTTTTTTATAACTCATCCGTTTAAATTATATTAAGCCTTAAAGTTCTGCATAATTAAGTGCGTGGCCACTTGAGTGATAGGTGGCTTGCCGCTGCTGTCACCACTGTCGAGCTAGGTGGGCGTGGCTTCAGCAACCTGCTAACCTGCTCCTGCCAATTTTCGATTATCCGGGAGTGACGCGCTTCCAAGATGGCAACGGCTGGCTCCACCCACTTTTGAGCTTTTGAGCTTCTCTTCGGAAATCTACGGGTGACGTCACGGACACTACGTCCATGTTTTTATACAGTCTATGGTAGGGAGTTGTTAAGCTTTGCTATAGCAATAGACAGCTTAAATACACAATACGTCTTATTGTATAAAAGTTTTCACCCCCTCAATGAAAGTCTATGGGATTTTAGGTAGCTTTGATAGTCTGGTTTACGAAAACCGTAAGCCGGATCAGTTAGAAAAGATATAGCAACCCGAGTCAGACCAGTCTGAAGGTCTGACCCGAGTTTGGTGGTTGTAGCTTTAAAAGTCTAGGAGGAGATACATTTTAAAGGGATCATATGATGCGATTTCAATTTTTCCTTTCTCTTTGGAGTGTTACAAGCCCTTGGTGCATAAAGAAGATCTGTAAAGTTGCAAAGACTAAAGTCTCAAATCCAAAGAGATATTCTTTATAAAAGTTAAGAGTCAACCACGCCTACCTGAAACTGTCTTTTTACAAAGCATTCTGTTGCAGCTGAATAACACGAGCAAAAATCAGCAGCCTACAGAACACTGTAAGAGGAATTTTGCCTATGCTTTTAAAAAAAAATCCCACAGCAAAAACAACTAGATTAATACACATTTCAAATATTAAAGTGTTAAAGACAAGTAAACAGTCAGTAATAAGATAGGAACAAACAAATCAATTAGCAATATCATAAATAAATACAACTGAACAAAATTTCAGGTACAGAAACTGTAATTAAAAGTTTAAAAACACTGCATAGTTTTCTTTTCATAAAATAGATTAATCAATTAAAGTTATTAAATATTTTCAATATTTTCAGTAAGACAAAAACGGCTGTGTTTATGATGATATACTGACGTAGTTTTCTGCATATTGGTCGACAAATATGAAAGAAGTCAGTTTCGGCCCGGAACAACCTTTTCTACAGTGGAAATACACGGAACGGTTCGGGAACAGACACAACCCGGGAACCCGTACCGCGACCTCTGTTCTCTGTGCTCGATGCCTTTTCCAAATACCCACACTTGTGGTCTTTGCACTTGACCACTTGAACAATTATATGATGTATTTCCTGTATTTGGCCCAAGCGGCAACCTCCCACTCTCTCTCGTGAAGCCAACACGGAAGTTACTTAAACTGTAATTCATCAACTGGCCGCTAGAAGCTGGCTGCAAAAGGGAGTCAGTCCCATAGACTCCCCATGTTAAAATGCCCAACTTTACAGCAGAAAAAAACATGTTTACAGCCTGGTTCAAAAAATTATTTTGATCTATATAGCTAATTTTGCCCTTCATGACAACTGTGAGGGGGGTGAATTTTTTTTATAACTCATCCGTTTAAATTATATTAAGCCTTAAAGTTCTGCATAATTAAGTGCGTGGCCACTTGAGTGATAGGTGGCTTGCCGCTGCTGTCACCACTGTCGAGCTAGGTGGGCGTGGCTTCAGCAACCTGCTCCCGCTTCTTTGCCAATTTTCGATTATCCGGGAGTGACGCGCTTCCAAGATGGCAACGGCTGGCTCCACCCACTTTTGAGCTTCAAAAACGCTCTTCGGAAATCTACGGGTGACGTCACGGACACTACGTCCATGTTTTTATACAGTCTATGGTTTGGCCCAAGTGTTCAAGTGAGGATGAAGACCACGTGTGTGTGTCGAACTTTTCATTACCTGATGGGACACACTTAAAGTGTTGTAAAAATGCAAGTGTTTACATAGCTTTATTTTAATTTTAAATACTTTGCATTTTAAAATCAACTTCTAAATGTCTGTTCAGTAGTCCCTATAACATAACATAATTTTAATTTGTGGTGCTTCTAATTAAGTGATAAAAAGCAGTTGCAAATGTTGTACAAAATAAATATCACCACTACTCATCATTGCACCAATAAAACGTAAAAACACTGCTTTCTACCAAATTATATGTAATATCTTATTATTATATTAATATTTAACTTGCATTGGAAAGGTTTCCGTGACCTCTCGTGAGATCTCGGCAAAAAGTCTCACGATTTATTTCCATAACATGATGCGTGATGGGATACACTAAGAGTCGAATAGCACTCCAAAGCGGTATTCAAGATAGTGTGGATTTAGTGTGCATTAAGGGCACTGCGCTTTGCCGTTTTAAAGACCTGGAACAGTCTTGCGCACTAACTTCCTGTCGCGCACACACGCTCTCAAGTGGCCAAGACCACAAGTGTGGGTATTTGGACAAGGCACGAGCTAAAGACCTGGAACAGTCTTGCGCACTAACTTCCTGTCTCGCACACGCGCTCTCAAGTGGCCAAGACCACAAGTGTGGGTATTTGGACAAGGCACGAGCTTGCGCTTCGTGTGCGCTGCACACAAACAGGGTGCAAGTTCTTTCCGTTCCTGCACTTAAATAGTCACTTTTGAGTGACACTCCCACATCTCAACATCCAATCGACATCCGAAGTCCAACCATGTCCCAAACCTACATTTAGTCTTTTTCTGTTACACTTGAATGCATCAAAATACAGAATAAAAATCATGCTTGTATTAACTTCTAGTGGAATGTATTGCATATGATTGATTCCATTTTAAATTCAGTTAGGCTGCATTCATAGGTAACTGCTTATGTAGACTAGACAGTGAGGCAGTGCACTTGATTTTGGAACAGGAAGTCCAGTGTCCTGATGTTGCCTGTATAATCCAGAGAACGTGGCTTTCGGTGCAGTTCAATGTAATTACTGATTATAACCTGTTTGTTCTTCTCTGGATGCAATCAAACAGCACAGACATCATCTCAGCGTATTCTGCTGACGGTGGAGCTAAATGTTGGCTCTAATTTAATAGCATCTCAGCATTAGTGGAGCTAAAGAGTTATTTAAACATAAGGAGGGATGCCATACCAGGAAGCCATTTTCATCACTAGCTAAGAGTGGATTAGATGTATGGAAATCAGTCGGGCCCCGCTTAAAAATGGCACACGACAGAGCAGAAGCACCTATAGAGTGAGTAAAAATATTGATTGATGGTTGGGAAATGTCACTATATGTATGTATACCCAGTAACGGTGAAGCCACACTGTTGTCCTCGCCACCAGAGTTGAGAAAGACGTCCAACGCCTCATGGTCAGACATGTCCATTAGGTCCATTTGCTCCAGCATGTCCACGTTCACCTCCATTGATGACATGCTTCCTATTGTCTCTGTGAACCAAAGGAAGAGCAACGACATCACTTCCTGCAACCTCATACTTCAATCACTAAGATGTATCAAGGATTTGAGTCCAGGATGATCGTTTAACGCATGGAGTTCGCATCTCTGTGGACAAAGAAATCCTTCATGTGAGTTCTTGGGTCAACTGTTGCCAAATAGAAGAGCAAATTTGCTTGTGTCAGATCTCATTTGATGTACAGAGCTATGTCCTGGATTCGTCACCTTGCAGTTATGTTGACTCTTTGTTGTCATTAGTGCATGCTTCACAAACACAGATTGCGGCGTGAGGCATGCCCGTCACATGTGCGTGTGTGAGCGTGACATCAGTAAGCAGAGCGGTGAACTGCGTACCTCAAGGTTGTGTAAGAGCGCAGCGGCACAGGGAGGTGGACAGCAAAGAGAGAGACATGTTAGCTCCCCTTTACAGTATTGAGACACAAACACAACCACACACTCATACACTCAGTGTCTGTGTGTGTGTGCGCTTTGAGAGATATGACACAACACAATTTCAGTCCATACTCCAAAACTATCCTGTTCTTGATTTTTCCTAAAGATTCATAGAGGATTGGTATATTCCCACCTTGCTGTACATAACAGCAATGACCTGATGGCTGATCCTAACCTCGTCCTCTTAATGAAACACTGGCTGGTCTTAGCCCCACCTTCGCTGCTTCAAGTCAAACATACCTATTTACTGATGAGATCTGCCACTTGCACTCGGAGAAGGAATTGAAATCAGAGCTCCAAAACTTGCAAAGTATTTGTGTTTTTATCAGTTTTAATTCTGACACAGCAAAACATTAAGATTACATGAAAAGAGTTTTACTGGTTAGTTGTGAGCATAAGCAGAACTGAAGGGTTTTTCTAGCCCTGCACTCTGGCTGATCTTAGCTCTGCCTCACTATTTGCTGCTTCAGTGTAGTTTATCTACTATTGGGTCAGCATTACCCATTGGACTTGCTGTTCCACAACAACTCTCTTCAGCTGCTCTTTTGTACATTCCCATACACCATGAGTCATTTTATACAAATTGACCAGGTGGGAGATGAAAGCAACTCTCAGTTTATCTGCTTCAGAGCTGGGAATTGCCTCCCCAATCCAATATCTTGGGTGCTGTGGACCCGTCACTCTTATTTGTAATAACGACTGCTGAGTGGTTTTGTACCAGACCATCTCAGTAGACATTTCTCATATATATATATATAAAGGTTAGTTAAAATATTCACAGGGATACAGCATATTTACATTAGCTTTTTGTTAAATAGATTCTGTTTGTATTAGTGTCTGGCACATTTTGATCTGGTCCTGGTTTGAGCCGAGGGCATAGGTATAGCTCACCTCTTCTCTCCGCGATCTGTAGGTATCCTGTAGACAGGTAGTGCTCCATGTCCTGCTGAAAAGCCTCCTCAAAAAACTTTTGCCTGTCCTTTAGTTTTACCTGCGGCTGGACAGGCTCTGCCTCCGGTACTCTCTGAGCATGCTCCATCTCCGCTGTGATTGGAGGACGAAAAGAAAGAGGTGTTAAGACAAACTTTGCTAAAGATTTTCTTAACAAAACCTGTTACAATATTCAGAAAATTTAAGACACCCGTGCAAGACATTTCATTTTAGGGATGTAAACTAGCATTTCAAAAGACTTAAAAACCTATATGTTAAGCATATAACATACAACCCTGTAGATAATTAAAAAGTGCCAAAGCCCAAGTATTCTCTGAGACATCTTCAAGTGATATAAAAACAAAGGTTTAGAATTAAATCAGTCGTTTTTCATTTTATAAATTTGCAGTGGTGGCGGTAACGAATTACAACTACTCACGTTACTGTAATTAAGTAGTTTTTCGGGTACTTGTACTTTTTGAGTGTATTTTTAAAGCTGTACTTTTACTTGTACTTAAGTACAAATTAAGCAAAATAATCTACTTTGTTACTTTTAAATCATAGTTCGTTACTGAGTACTCCCACAATCTGAATTGATATTCAAACCTTTGACGGCACTTTAGTAAAGATATCTGATCGTGAAGGGACCAATAAAAGCTCTGATATCTGAACCGGGAAAAGCCGCCGCTGCAGCAGGTTTTGAAGAGCTGATCGAACAGCGAGGGAGCTCAGCGTAATTTATGGACTCAAAGTTTGGAGGAACAAACTACATGGTAGTGTTATCATAGATATCTATATTTTGATACCGATACTGAAATATCTGACACGGTTCCATTACTAATTTTCCACAGTATCTACCAAATATACACCGATACAAGCTGCGTCTCTCTTTGCTCTCCGACAGCGAGTTTGACACGCATCCACCTCCTGTCGATTACAGAGTCTGAATGTCCTCGTGGGATTGCAGGTATTCCGCATAATTTTAATCATTCCCGCACAAATGTGGCGAGTGCTTTATTGTAACATGAGAACACAGTTATGTAATCGCAGAAAACTGGATGCGAGCTCTCAAATAGGCCTAACTTATACAAATTAACTGCCTGTCCTCACTCCGATATTGCTTGTGCGCACTCATACTGTGTGCAATCGCGATCTCTCCATGCTTTTAAGTAGAAATCATTTCTCTTTGCTCCTGGATTAAACTTTGTCAAAAGTTAGAATAGATCAGAATAGATCTATATGTCAGAATAGGTCAGAATAGATCCACGCCTGACCGAGGAAAATCCTATTGGAAATTGTATTGACTGTAAGTGGAATGCACCAGAAAGTCTTTCAACAATCAAAGATGGAACTTTAATTTCTTTACAATGTAAGTTTATGCTAGAAATGTTTCTGAATGGGATATTTGTACATATAAATATCCTAGTCTGCCTAACTGCATCACTACATTGTAGAGACATTACAGGTCAAAATCATTTGATGTTCCATTTATCGAAATAAATAGGCCTAACATACTGTATATGGCTCTTAAATAACTGCTTATAAAAGTTCAGTGTTGTCATATTTTGAATACCTCAAGCTGACGTGAGGTAATTTGTTTTATAATTTTATTACTGACTGTGTACTTGTCTTTTTTTTTTTGTAAATTCAATTCAGTTTGAAATCAAATTTGAAATCAAGCTTCCTTGTGCTGTAAGCTTTTGCAACAGTTACCCTATTTTAAAGACACAAATACACAGAATGACCAAATGTTTAAGATTTAGATTTTTGTAATGGTAATTGATATTTCGATATTTATGTTTGCAAATATAAGCCTATAAAAGCCTGAACACCAGTTCATCATATAAAGTGAACGTGTAACCCTTTATTCAATATTCCGTTTCACTTGCAAATACATCACAACACTGAAGTCAGTTGCAACTTCCGGTTCACGAGTACTTTGATACTGATATTTTTCAAGTTATGAAGTTAGAAATTCCTGTCTCATGACCACTAATTCACATACTTTGTCAATAAGATAAAAGTGGGTTTTGTTCAAAGTAGCTATTATCCACATTGATATGAATAGTTTTTGGTAGTTCATTAAATATCGCCGGCTAAAAAGTAACTAGTAACTAGTACTTTTACTTAAGTACTGTTTTGACACCAGTACTTTTACTTGTAATTGAGTATTATTTCAGCAATGTAACAGTACTTGTACTTAAGTACTCTTTCCACCACTGCAAATTTGTCATGAGTCACAACCATGAGGCAACATTCTGAACACACACACAGTTCACAATGAGCTTTCCCAAAAGCATACTGGTCTGGACAGGACAGCAGGGGGTTGTCAGATCAGTCCAGCAGTGATTTTCAGATCTCTGCTCTGCACAGCTTGATCTGAATCAGCGTATTCACAGGTAAAAAGATGTCCTGACAGGACATAACTAGCCCACATTTTCCTAAAACTGGGTCTGGAGAATGCCGTAAAAAGCCCTGTGATGTGCTATAGCGTTTACCATATTGGTGAAAGTTCTGAAGGGTTAAGTTGTCTAATGGTTATAATTATCTGTTTTGCCTCATTAAATGTGCATTCAAAAGTGCTAATTTAAAGCAATTCAAAACAGTGTTTGTGTGAAGAGCCATCTGAATGGTGTAACTCATATAATATGAAGACTGTACTCAATAGTTTCCTTTTTTTTTTTTCGAGGTGTTTCAATGGCAAAGAGCTTTACCAGCGGAGACAACAGAAGAAAAACTACATGTACTGCCGAAGAAGCGGAAAAGCCAGAAGACAGAAAGTGCGACAAAGACAAAAATGAACGTAAACAGAACTACAGCACACACAAGGTGGAAAGATTTGATGATGGAGAAAATCCTGAGTTGTGATGACAAATTGCTGCATTTGTGTCGGAAAGGTAAGAGAATGAATTAATTGTGAAGAGCGCTGTAGTAATATCGCTGTAATTTACATAAAACGCAAAGACGATCGTGCTGACCGTTGGGGTGAGCATGAAGAACAGCGTTGTTAATGCTACCTAAAGAACTGCTAATGCAAAACAGTGAATTAAGTGGGGAAAATTATTGCAATTTGATTTATCAGTAAGAGAAAGACTAAATTGTCTGCTAAAAGATATTTTGTCAGTTTAGCAGTGCACCAGCATACAGTAGATGGCCTAAAGCTAATAGACAAGGACTTAAGACACACAACTCCTATTTTAATTTAATAGGATCTTTAAAATGTTTTAATTTTATATGAAATAAAAATTTTAAATAATTCACTTTACAAATTTAACAATAAATAAACAATTTAAAATAATTTATGTTTAAATGCAATTTAAAAGTGATATGTGTTTTAATTTTTAATATGACCATTTAGTGTTTATTTAAATGTTTATTTTTTACTTTTAACTTGATAATTGTTATAGAAGTGGCACTTCTAGTCCTGCATACTGTAAGAATCAACCACGTATCCAGTATTAACTAATGACATTGTTGGTTTAGTGTTTGTGGGAAGCTGAGGCCTCTGTCCATCCCTTATTTACCAGAATTCCAGGTGTCTGCATATCACTCTTATCCTTTGTCTCAATTTTTCATATTTTGCAATCCTGTGGGCTGGAGTGAATGTGCATCAGTAACTTGATTGTGGATAAAAGTAAGTGTGCTCATATTCCGTTTAGGAGAAAGCACAAATAAAACACTGTGTGTGTGTGTTTTATTTATTTATTTGCTCTGTCTGGATTAATGAATGGCTGTGGTCGTCCTGAGGGAAGCAGCTCTGGTCTCTGGTCTTTCATCAAAGAGTTGCGCTCCAGTTCACGCATGTCTTCTCTTCATTTACCATCACACACACTCTTTGACCAAAGGCCTGCTCACAGCACACACACACACTCCAATACACTTCTGACTAGACTTGAATCTAACTTTCCTCTGTTTTGAAATGTGGACTCACAGTCTCAGTCTATAATATGGGCATCTACATACCACATAATACAGTAATCATTTAGCATGTCTATGACATGATTAATGTTCCCATTTTGTAATCGTTATACATTCATTTTCTCATAGCAATGCAAGTTATTATTATATAATGGCTCATTACAGCTAATTTAATTATGCTCTGTGCTTATGCTTGTGTGTTTGTGTAGATGTTGTAATGTGATTATGACTAAGAGTAATAGAAGAGTCTGTGCGTGACACTGTGATATATTAGAGACATGTTATATTCTGTTCTCAGACTGCCAGACTGATTTTGCGCCCAAAGTGCCGTCTGAGAGTATTTCCTCTAAGATATCGCTGCGCAGAAAGACAGTTCAGCTCGTGTTAGAAGTCCAGTTCTCCTTCAGACTGGTATTTCTCTTGAGAGGAGCTTCAGTCTTTGATGCACTGACCTGAGACTGAACTGACTTATTTCCTCAACAAATACTGAGGCTTTAAGAGGACTACAGAGTTTTGAGTTAAGAAATACAGTTTTCTAGAGGCCTAGAGAACACTACAACTTTTATACAAGATACAGTTCAAGTTCAACATGATTTGTTCTTCAAACATGCATCTTTAAAAGAAAAACGTTCAGCTTAATGCAAAGTGACCCACATTTGGGTTTTGATCACTGAAAATGTATACAATTTAACAATTTATTGCTGGAGCCATACTGAGATTCCAAAATCACTGCATCATACAGGGCCTTAAAAACAAAGATCCCAAAAGAAAAGTTTAAGAATTAAAATCTAAATATGATATTAAGATATTGTGCCGAGTGGAGGCGGGGCCGAGAGCCGTGGGAACGGAGCGAGGCCGGTGGAGTAATTGATAATTAGCGACACCTGCACCACTCACCGGTCTCGAGTCCCACGGGGGGGGCCCGGAAGGAAAAAAGGTGCCGAGTGGAGGCGGGGCCGAGAGCCGTGGGAACGGAGCGAGGCCGGTGGAGTAATTGATAATTAGCGACACCTGCACCACTCACCGGTCTCGAGTCCCACGGAGGAGCTCCGGAAGGATAAAAGGAGGAGTGACGACAGTGAAAGATGAGAGAGGAGCAGGCCTGGATTTTATTTTGTGTTTTGTGTGCGGCAGTCGTCTGAGAGGGGCTGCCGCTTTACTTTCATTTTGTGTTTGTTTATTTTGTTAAAGTTTTG